TCTTCCCCCACATTTGCCAACCTGAGATGAAAGGGTTCCTGGTTTGTGGTCCCAATTTGCAATGCCCAGTTTGTGGCTGAATGTGACTGCAGTTTAAACTGCTGTTTAATGCTTGTTTAGAATTGTGTCTCGTAGGCAAGAAATAAACCGTAGTTTGTCAAAGCACCCAATTTGGACACGACAACAAACTGCAGTCAGTTACAAATTTGTGTTAACAAAGGTGCGTTACCTTGGAGCACAAGCAGAGGAGGAAGGATTTGAGCCCAGGGACTTCTGAGGGTTGTTCTTGGACCTATTTTAAGCTCTGGCGCTCCCAGACTGCTTCTCTGTGGTTAGAGCACAACTTAGTAAAAATGGTTTAGGGGCTACATGTTAAGTCGCTCACTTAGCAAAGTAGTCGGAGAGTGATTCAGCAAAGATTCAGCTTTATTCAGCAACTCCAGCACAACTCCAACACGGATCAACATCTGATAGCCAGAACAGCTTTTACATTGCAGCTGTCCTGCTTTTAAACTCTCCCGGCTAATGTAGCCACGTCTACTGTACATTTTCCAACCAATAAGTTTGCATACATAAGGACCAATCACGGACATTCCCGCTCAGGGTGCTTGTTGATAGTGATTGGTTAGGTGCTTCCTGGGCTAGCAATGTGATTGGATGTTGTGACGACCCCTTATCTGGGGAGGTCTGGTTTCCCTTTGAAGTGTTCCTTATGTTTTGTTTTACTGTGTATATCCCGCTGCCACCAGGAAATATAAGGCTTTCCAAACCTGTATACTATACTATTTCTATCACTGGGTAGGTAGGTCGGTTTTAGGCTTTCGAGGTACTAATGTGGTCCTGGGAAGTATTTCTTTCAGAACTGGTATCTTAAATAAAAGTAGATTTATTGATATAATTCGTAAATAATATGATAGTACACTGTAACTAGGAATGGGTAAATACTAAACAATTGCTTTGATATTTCACACACTTTTCTCTCTCACTGTCAGGGATCTTGGCATGTAACTTTGTAACACTTTTTTCCTTCAGGCCATATACGTTTACTGTTTCACTTTCGCCTGTAGCTCAGACTTTATATTTTTCTCTTTAACTTTACTTTCTTGTTCCATATACATTCAACTTTTCTTCATACACAGAAATAACTCCTAAGCGCACACAAAACTGCTTCTCTCCCAGACTTCAGAACTAACTCTTCAACTGTCCTCATCAACTGTCTAAACTGTAACTGTCACTCTAGACTGACACACATACTCATCCACTCAGCACCACTTCCAAAACCCCTCCCCCTTTCTGCTAATCACCAATCACACCACACTTGCCGGTTTCAACCACTCTAGACTATCTCTCTCAGCCATGCAACCAAACTTTTAAAGCGACACACACACATATAAGACAAGTAATCATTACAGATGGATTTGGATCCTAGCCCAGGACGAAGCTTAACATAGCATTTCAATTAGATGTTTTCATCACACATTACGCATTCAATGGCGGCTTATTGAATACGTTACACTACAGTCATCCAGAAAGACGGGAATTGCCGGAGTTCTGTGAAAGATGTGTTGGATTGTGTGCTCTAATTGTCTATTTTAAGCTCTGGCGCTCCTTGACTGCCGTTTACTGGAAATCCGAACCTTGCAGGGTTCGTTCCTTTGTTCCGTTTGGGCTCTGTAGGCCTTCCACAAATTGTAGGGCACAAAGGTGCCCGTGTCTTTCCTGTCAGGTTCCTCCCTGCGCTGCCCTATGGACAGGCCAGGTTTATAGGTGTCCTTATTCAGACAGGTCTGTGTAGTTCCTTCTGCAGACAAT